GGTTATGTTTGCGGGGATTGACAAAGTCTCAAATATGAAGAGACTTGACGGTTGAGCTGAGTCGTGTGGACCGGCAGTTGGGTGATGAACCTTAACAACATAGCTTCACTCAAAGCTCTTTCAAATGACTCCGTCATTGACACACAAATTAAATATATCGAATGAGGTGTTTCTCCATACATGTCATAGCATAGAGAAGTGGTTGAAAAAATGGTTGAACGCCGGCCACCCGAACATGTATGCTCAGCTGTAATGACACCATTTCCCGTTCCCGCTGCTGTTTGCTTTCGTTTGGCCAGTCGTTTCTTATTACCAGTGGGAATTTCTTTTCTCGCCGAATTTTCGTCTACCCAGAGGCTTTGATATAGGTGCCTCCGGCTTCAACAAGTCAATCACATAGACCACCAGTGATATCGATCACCTTGCAGAGGCTTCAAATGAAGCCATATCAACTAGATATGATCTAGTGTCTCAAGAACTGGCTACAGAGTGACGTGTTTGGCTGCTAATGAACATATTTTACCCGCTGAAATAGAGCAAATAGGCTAGCTTCTATTGAAATCAATACATAATAATTGTACGATAGTTTTGCTAACTCTCTAAGGAATTATAAATGAAACCAAACATTGATAGCTAAACATGCTTGATCGGTTATACCGAAGCTCTCAATTTAAATTAATCGACCGAGCTGTTGTGCTGTCCACCGGGCGGTTTTATGAATCTATAACTGTACGACAACCGGTGCCACCAAAGCCTCTCTATTCCTCCATTATACCTGCTGGATAATATCTAACCAAACTCATCTACCCTATGTGGCGTTGCTGAGGCTATTCCGTACCTATGTGTAAATATTGTGTTTTTCTGGTATGAAGTTAGTCATCCTGCTGTGGCATGACCTTGCCTAGCTACAATGCCCAAATCTCCGGCAAGCTCTCAATTGACTTATTTTCTGATAAAATGCAACGCTCTCCGCCATGAATTCCCACTCCATCTGGACCACCGTTCATCTTGTTACTGTTTGAGATGGGTGTAGGAGCTAATTTTCATTCTGTGGTGACTACCGCCGGAAATGGCAACTTGAGGGCAGCCACATACCGGTTGCGAAAATATTCCAAGAGGGCCACTCCGAGCCTCCCAAGCCCAGCTGAAAGCTGTCTCAGCAATGGCCTAGACCTCGCAATTCGGTCGGGATCACCGGTTGATATTCACAAGCAGCGTTAGGAAGACATCTTCTCCGGAACGTTATTGCAAGGAACGAATGGAAACGCTTATTAGGTAGGTATGCTAACATTAACGCTAATGCCTAATGCAGAGAGTCATAAACCGTAATCACAAAAGAAAAGTACCATTTTCTTCGGCTAAGCCTGATCCATCATCAGCTCCCTAAGATACACGCAGCTTTTGCTCAAGAAAGTCCCTCCCATCACCAGTCTGTCATCCGCGAGTAGCTGGAATCAACCGGAGTAGGTCGAGATGGTGCTGGCCAAGAGATTCTTGATGTTGTCCAAGACGGTCTTGGCGTCAGCCTGGGAGCCCGAGTCGATGTACTTGAGAAGCCCAGTGCTGAAGCCGTCGTATTCGCTGCTGAGAACGTTGAGGTATGGCAGGACGGCGAACCTCGAGGCCAAAGTGTTGAGAAGACCTTCAGATTTGGCCTGTCCAAGATAATCAAGAGCCGTTTTGGCGTGGGGGTATACATCGTCCTTGAGCTTGTTGATAATGGACGAAGAATCTGAGGCGGAGAATACAGTGTCAAGCTCCTGTACGTCCAACATGGCCTGGCGGTTGGCAGACTGAATGGAAATGGTGTGGGAGATGACGGAGGAGATGTCGGAGATTGCTTTGATGATGCCACCAGAGGGGCTTTGGAGAACGTCGGTGAGATTTGTGATGGCCTTGTCCAGGGCGGTCAGGTCTGCACTGATGGTGTCGACGGTCGGGGTGATTTGGGGCATAGAGCTCCATCCATCGGGTTTGAAGTCCGTCAGTATCCGAGGGATGACGGCCGCCGAAGCTGTGGAGAGCATAGCACAAGAGGTAAGAGCGTTGAAGAAATGCATCTTGTCTGAGAGTAGTTGCAAGAGATGATGGTGATGTTCTTGGTATCTGGACTGGAGAAACGGTTATGGGGGAGATCTGGAGCTGAGCGTTGAAGATCTGTCTAACCGGCTGTTGACTGGAGTTGATCGGGTGGGTGATCTCTCTCTTTGCAAAGTAGGGACAGAAGGACCGTATTTATCATCGTATGCAGGCGCCGATCAACCCCAAGCCGGCCAGCTTTTCGTCCCGACGACCCCTAATCGTCCGCGGACCTCGAGCAACAAGCCTTTCCGAGACATCGCTTGCCCTCTGCGGTGTCTCACTCAATCACCTCTAGGTAATCCAGGCTCCTGCCAATCCGCGAGGGTCCGACGTGAGCCACAGGGCTAGAACGGCCATCAGCCTAAGTTGGACGTAAGGTTAATCACTCGCCCTTACGGGCGCTACGCAAGAGGCGGGCTTGATCCGCAGTCGACAGCCCCCAATCCGGGAGCTACGGTTTGGCTGCATCCGGCCGATAATCAAAGGCGGTGCTTATATTGCGGGGGAGAAGTGACAGGCGCTAGCACTGATTCGCAAGAGCAGCTGATTACGAAGAGATGGTCTAGAGCTCTGCGAGGAAAGCGACTCGTTGATCGGAGGGTCAAAATGATGAAGACGTGTTGCATCGGGCTAAGTGGACGTTGAATTGCGTCGGGGAAGGATTGTCTGTTTGCGGTCCGAACTGTTACGGGAAGCCTACTCGGGTATCGCGATCACCGACTACACGATGGTAAAAACTGGCGTATTGTGGAATTCAAGCGACGTCAGACTAAAGCTTTTGCGTCACTCTTCTTGTAGAATTTTGCCCGTCATCTTGATACATGCTCGGGCCGGAAGTGATCCAAATCGCGGGCCGACTGACTACATAGGGAGAGTTGAGGAATGTTGCTTCACGAACCGGCAACAATGCTATAGGTGTCTTGGATTCTTGTTGTTATTCTTTTCGAGGAGTAAAGACATCTCTCTTACATACACAATGCCATTGCTCTCCGTCTTCTAGTCTCCCATTCTCGATTCGGCGAACGATAGGGGCCTGGCCAGTGTTTTCCTTTTCAGAGGGGTGGACGCCCTACCAGGCATGGAATTTGCACCTCTGATTCGAAATTCATATAGGAGCTTCCGGCAGGCTTGTTACCTGCGTGAGTCATCATCTCTGTCCCCAGTTGCCCGGGTGCTCCCGTCTTTCTAATCGCTACCAGATTTGACGATTGCGTCCACCTTCCGGCCTGACAACCGGCCGTCCCTCTTTCACTGACGGTATCGGGTCAATTGATTTCGAGGGGTTCGCATCTTGATTCACGATGATTGAGTGAGACAGCTTGATTCAGAAGAATTCCGGAGCCTGTCCAGGGACTGATCGGAAGGATCCGAGATCAATATTACTTCCAATGCAAGACGGAAGCATTTGTAGACCAATTTTGTCGGCCAGTCCAATGGTGGTCCCAAAGAAGACTAGAAAAGAAATGCGCCATTGAAGTCCATTCCTGCAGCTTGAAATTATTATCCTCAAAGCACTTCTGCTCCTTGAGTATTGCTGCAGTCGTAGTAGGAAATGAAGTTCGGGATATGGGTTTAAGACGAAAATGTAATAGATGGCAAATACCGAAGAGCATGGTTGATTATTAGTCTTACATATGTTCAGAAAAGGCTCGAAAAGGTAATCAAAAAAGCTACGGCAAGTCCGACCTCCAAGCGTGCATTATGTGCACCGCCTTCACCAACCCGTGATCTATTAGTCCGTGGTGTGTGGGATGGCGTCGTGGCGTCCGGCCGTAGATTCTATATGGACCGGGCCAGAACATCCCTTGGTAAGATCAGATTAACTAAGTGTAAACGTCCAGGAACGATCGAGATGTTAGTGCCTGGATACCTCCAAAATTGTTCTTTTCTGCCTTCAGCAGTAACTGGACGGTGGTGAGAACGGCACGGCACTATCGTTCTCGCACTTGGCAGAGACCGTGGTATTGACCCGAGCCATCTTTATTTACCTACCTTAGGTTGTCTAAGAATGATTCCCATCATAGCATGCGGTCACGTAACCTATGAGCATCAAACTTTCAATAGGGTTTGAGCAAAATCTTTGTCTTCCATGGTAACGCGAGGAAGGCTGAGATGATTGATTGGAGCAACGATGTTAACGAGGATGGTGGCGTGGGAACACAACAGAAGTTTTGCTCAGGGGAAAATATCGTCAATTGAATCCCATGTGAGACAACAGAGGCATTCATGTGAAACCATCCATGAATATCTCCAGCAAGCGGCTGTGAGTATTGCACTTCATGTCTGTGGCCTCTCAATCCCGTCAAGAGGCTCTGCGAGGAGTATGCCGACCGGGGTTACTCCCCACATCTTTCGCTCAAGTGCTTGCCAGCTATTACAATCATGAATGAAATACTTAGAATACTTATTCATACCGATAGCTATTTGGCAATGATTCTAGTGTTTACCTAAATATTTCACGCTTCGGGACTCTCGGACTTCCGGCCATCACGGCTTTGCCGACATACACGTGGTTGCACCCGTGGAGTGCCCCTCTTATCTCGCATTTCTGCGATGCCTCGGGGACCGCATCAGGAAAACGCATCGCCCTTGGCTGCAGTCGGATCTGCAGGCATGCTGTGTCCGCGGAATGTTGATTGGCCCTCTTGCACAACAACATGGGTATGATCACGCTACAGAAAGGCCCTGCAACAGTTGAACACCGGGCCAACAGCCCATGTCGCTCCGCCGTCAAGCTCCACCAACACCAACAGGTGTGCCTGCTTGTCGCTTTCGCTACCCCTCTTTCTTCAACGGCGTTCGTGGCAACTTTTGTTTTCTCTGAACCTCCCACTTCTCAGTTGACTTTTGGAGGAGCGACTGTTCTCCCGTGCGACTTGAGTTTGGAAGCTATTCAATTATTCCGATTATCGTACAAGATGTCGCAGCAACCCGAAGAGGTCCCCGAGATCCAGGCCGTGAGTGCGCCGCCATCACTACGCTTGCTGCAGATTGGCAGTCTCACATTCGCTGACGCGAGGTGCCGAATCATAGGATCCCCAGGTCATTGCTGACCTCGAGTCCGAGGCGGGCTCACTCGACGATGACGGGAGGAACAGGCGAGTCAACTCGAAGCTCGAAATCGGAAGCGAGTATGGAACTAATTGGTATCCACATAGCCTTCGAGAGTCTACGGCCTCTCTGAGTTCCAGTGTACGCGAGTTTCGCACTATCAAGGGCAGAACCTATCAGACATCCAACACCATTGACTACTGGTGAGTAGGACTTCTACCTCTTCCGAGACTGCTTCAGCAGCCGGAAGATGTCTGAGAAGTTCTGCGCTGTGCTGACCATTCACGCTAGGGCGCCGAATGATGATAAGCAGCTGGAGACCTTCGACGTAGTGTATGCCAAATTCGTCACGGCCTAAATTGCTTTGCACAGCTGATAATTGGACAGGCATCACTTCACCTTGATGCTCATGGATGACAAACTCTTCTATGCTCCAGTTCCGGTGGAGAAAGGCGACCTGGTCAGTGACCTCGAAAGTGTGGATCGAACCGACAGTTGACTTAATTTCATAGAAAGTTCTCGACGTAGGGACTGGATCGGGTCTTTGGGCCCTGTAAGTCAATGAGTCCAATTCTGCACATCATCAAGGACCTATCTAACGCGCGCAGTGACCTTGCGGACGAATTCCCGGCTATTGAGGTCATTGGGACGGACATTTCAGCCGTGCAGCCCAGCTGGGTCCCGCCGAACTGCATCTTCCAGATTGACGACGCCCAGCTTGATTGGACTTTCAAGAGGGACCACTTTGATGCGATCCACGCTCGCAATTTGTACGGCGGCATCGACAATTGGCAGCGTTTCTATGACCAAGCATTCACTCACTTGAAGCCTGGCGGCTGGTTCGAGAGCATGGAGTTTGACATCTTGGCTGGCTCTGAGAACCCCGAAGTCGAGAATGACCCGAACCATATTTTCAAGAAATGGGCAGGTCTCTTTTGGGATGCGGGTGACATCATAGGCCGCAGCTTCCGCCAGGCTCAGTACAAAGGCCCGAACGAGGAGATCATGATGGTAAAGTGCATGAAGGAAGCTGGCTTTGTTGACATTGTGCATAAGAAGTGGAAGGTGCCCATCGGAGGCTGGGCCAAGGACCCATTTCTGAAGCAGGTTGGGCACTACGCTGGCCTCTTCATGGACCAGTCACTTGATGGATGGGCGCTCCAGCCGATTGGCGAGATCCTGGGATGGACGTACGAGGAGATTATGGTCCTCGTTGCGGAGATGCGTATAGCTCTGAGGAGCTCGAAATCACTGCCGTACTTCAATTAGTAAGTGCAATCTTGAGACGCAAAATATGGTTGCGATTGAAGCTCACCAAACAACACAGCCACATGGTGTACGGCCGGAAGCCGGAGAATCCGTGGGTCCCTTCCCCTGCTTCTGACCCGGCACCGGTCCCGACACAAGCCGAAGCTGCTGCATCTCCAGCACCGGCTTCGGCCCAAGCTGAGGCAGTGGCATCTCCGGCGCCGGCTCCGGCTCAGGGCGAGTCTGCGGCATCTCCAGCACCAGCAGTTGCATCCCCTGGAAACACGTCCGCTGAGGCTACGTCCCGTGCGCCCTAAGGAACAAGTACGCATCAAAAGCTTTCGGGGCTTGACCTGTAATAGATTTAGAAGTCCAGTATGCTTTCAGCCTAATCCTGACGCTCTTCGCTTTGGTTCGCACCATGCCGTGCCCGTATCAATGTTCAACCCGTCGAAGAGCGTTGTTTAAACATAAATTCACAATGACCTCTAAGTTGATACATTTTCAACGTGTAATTGACGTAAATCGTAGTTCAGGCGTCCTAATGGAAACAAGCTATTTCCCGTCTCGAATAGACGAAAGTCCTGCTCGTCTGACCAGCCTGCGCGGTGCTTCGTGTCTTTCTTCTTTCTTGCTTTTTATGTTATTGAAATGGGACATAGGATTGAAAACTTGCCAGAACAAGGATACCCTGAATGCGAAAAAGGCCACATGGGGAATTGATAAGAAACAGTCTTGTCTCGCATTATGAAAGAGATCTATCGGATGCTATTCTAGCTAGTTGGTTCATTTCACAGCAGAAATCATTAAGCATCGCGACTCATACCGATCCGAAAGCCTCACACACTAAGGTATGCGCGCCCTCCTGCAAAGGCGGTCATGATGACAGCTCTTGCTTTAAGATTTTGGCCAACTGTCTAAACAAAACAAGATGTACTTTGAAGAAATACGATTGAACGTTTGTATCCGGAATTCTGGCAAGGTGTCGAGCCACAAGATTCACTCCATGATGATCGCTCCTGGGTTTGCTATTCCGACAATTCCGCCGCCAAAGTCATGCTTCCGCCAACAGCTACTGACCAATCACAAGTGCCAATTGAAGCAGCTCTAACACTGCGGCATGTCTCCTATTCTCCGCAGGACTCAAGCCGCTGACATCCGTCTTCCCCGCATCATCCTCCCAAGTACATGCATTCCCGCCGCAAAGGCGCCCCATTCGGCATGGAAAGGCTAGTTGCGGGCTTTCCGCTGTGTACTCGTAAGGGCGTCACCAGACAACATGCCATCCGTCGTTTGAGCATGTCTTAGCCAGGAGCAGCTCACATAAGACGAGGCCAGGCACCTCCTGGGCCGCACCCGGGTAGCATCATCCGTCACCAGAATCACATCATCAACAACTGCCCACACCCCTTGACTTCCAAGATGGCTGACCAACACGACTACACGCTCTACTCCTACTTCCGCTCCTCCTGCTCCGCGCGCCTGCGCATCGCCCTCAACGCCAAAGCCATCCCCTACAAGACCGTCCCGACCAACCTCCTCAAGGACGAGCACCTCTCCGCCGCCCACCGCGCGCTGAATCCCTCCGGCACCGTGCCGCTGCTCGTCAACCGCGCTGACGCAGACTTCAAAGTCACACAGTCCGTCGCGGCGCTCGAGTACCTAGAGGAGACGCACCCAGACGCGACGCCGCTGCTGCCGCAAGACGCGAAGCGCCGCGCCGCGGTGCGGAGTTTGGTTAACATCGTCTGCTGCGACATCCAGCCTGTGACTAACATGCGCATCATGCGGCGTGTGAGGGCGCTGGGGGGCAATGCGGAGCAGTGGAATCGCGAGCTGATGGCGGACGGGCTGGCGGCGTATGAGGCGGTCGCGAAGCAGTGGGCGGGCAAGTGTTCTGTGGGGGATGAGATGACCATGGCGGATGTGTGTTTGCTCCCTGCGGTGTGGAACGCCGAGAGGTTTGGGGTGGATTTGAGCGTGTATCCGACTATTGGGAAGGTGGTGGAGGGGTTGAAGGAGAATCCAGCGGTGGTGAAGGCGCATTATTTTAATCAGCCTGATACCCCTGACGAGCTGAGGATTAAATAGACATCACACGCTTCACATGTCGTGAGAGGAAGTACATAGCAATACCGGAGATTAAACATTCCCACCCAGGTCTGAGATTCCGATATAATTCGCCGCTATTCACGTGTCTTCGAATTCACAATTTCATGATATTTCATCTCAATCAATTCTATTCAATTACTTTTCATACCAACGGTAGTTAGAAAAGAGGCAATGCAGCCTCAATCTTGCCAGAAACCTCGCCGAACCCGATTAGCGCACCGTCCTGCCCGCTCCAGCCGCGGATGACCAGCGTGTCGCCGTCCTGCAGGAACTTGCGCTCCTCGCCGCCGTTCAGCTTCACAGCCTCCTTGCCGCCCTTGGTCTGCTCCAGAATGCTGCCCTCCGTGCCGGACTCGGTGCCCGAGATCGTGCCGGAGCCGAGCAGGTCGCCCGGGCGCAGGTTGCAGCCGGTGATGGTATGGTGCGCAATCATCTGCGGCCACGACCACAGCAGGTTCTTGGAGTTGGTGCGGCTGATTGTTGTCTTGTTTCCGTTGGCGGCTGCGGAATCGCACGTTAGCATAGGCATCACGAGAGATTCGTGACGTGGGGTGATACTCACTGATCAGGTCAACCTCCAACTCAATGCCCAGAAGGTTATCCTTCTTCGTCTCGCGCAGATACGGCTGCAGCTCCGTCTTGTTCTCAATCCCCGCCGTCTTCGTCGCCTCAAGCGCGTCCGCAAGCACCACCCACGGGCTAATACTCGTCCCCATGTTCTTGCTCGTGAACGGGCCGAGCGGCACGTACTCCCACGCCTGGATATCGCGCGCGCTCCAGTCGTTCATCAGCACGTAGCCAAAGATGTGCTGCTCCGCCTCGTCCACGGGCACCGGCTCGCCGAGCCTATTCTCGCGACACAGGAACATGCCCATCTCGAGCTCGAGGTCCAGCCGCTCGCAGGGCGCCAGCACGGGCACCTTCGGGTCCGCGGCCGGGTTCTTGAGGATCTGGCCCCACGGCCGGCGGATCGGCGTGCCGGAGACGACGACGCTGGAGGCGCGGCCGTGGTACGCGACGGGGAGGTGCACGTAATTGGGCTGCAGCGCGTTGGCGGGCCCGCGGAAGAGCACGCCGACGTTGTAGGCGTGGTTCTTGCCGGCGTAGAAGTCGGTGTAGTCGCCGATGGCGAGGGGCAGGTGGTTCGTCACCTCGGCGGCGGGGATGAGCGCGCTCTTGCGCAGCTCGGCGTTGTCCTTGAGGAGCCCTGCGTGCGGCGTATTCTCGGCCAGGATGGACTGGAGGTATGTGCGGACTTCCTTGTGAATGGGCCTGCCGAGCGCGGCGAAGTCGTTGAGGGTGGGCGAGGAGAAGACGGCAAGGCGCTCTTGGATTGAGGGCAGGGCGTGGAAGCCGCCGGCCTTTGCGAAGGCCTTGAGGTCGAGGGCGTAGTCGCCGATTGCGACCGCGGGGCGGTGCGTCGGGTCTGACTTTGTGGAGATGATGCCGAAGGGGATGTTGGCCAGGGAGAAGTGGCTCTTTGGCGAGACGGTGACCCAGGAGCTCGACATTGTGACGATTGTGTGTGTGTAATTGGCTCTTCAATTCCTCTGCTGGGTTGAATTGGTGGTGTGAAGGAATTGGCCTTTGAGCTGAGCGATTGAAGCTTTGAAGCTCTCCGGGTACATGTGAGGTCATCTCTTGTTTTGGAGTGTTGCTGCGGCGCTCAGGGACGGCATTCCGCAATTCCAATTCCGGCGCAAGCCGAGCGGAAAGGCAAGGAAGCCGGGCCGCCGCGGAATGGGGGGAATACTGCGGGGTAGCTCGGCGCCGTGGCGGGGTAGCAACATGAGGAAAAGGCAAAGCCGCAGGTAGGCGAGCAAGGTCCTTTGATGTCGTTTTTCCGACGCAAGATGCACCTCTTCACCCATGGGTGCTGCTAGGTGTTGCATCTTCGGGAGCTAACGTCTCGGCGCAGACTTGTCCCGTCTTGGCGTTGGACTCGATTGAAATTTCCCGCAGAGCCTCTCAGAAGTAAAGATTCTGGTGAGACTTTGACAACTCCTTGGCTTTGCTGTGGCTGTCAGGCGCGTTCCTGTTGCCGGTCTGAGCTGTGTTGATTGGTGTCATGGGCGCGAGGAACTGAGGCTCAATGGGTATGTCGACGACAGGTTGTGGATTGGACATTGGCGTCCGCTCAACCGACGGCTGGGGAAGAGCGAGCTGGTCAGACACGGACGACATCAGCGACTGAGGACTCGCTGCGGGCAAGTCGGTAGCTGCATCGTTACTCTCAGTGGCCTTGGACCGGAACCAGGCTTGGACGTCGGTCGGGGTCTGCAACGGGAGGCTCTCCCACTCTTTGACGCGATCGACCTTGTTCTGTCTGGGAGTCCACGCTGCCTGCGACAGCAATGCCGGTGACGATGCAGCATCGTATGCTTGACTGTCCATTGTGCCGGAGAGCACCCTGAACAGAGCAGCCTCAGTCTCGGCCAGGCGAGTCTCGAGCTTGTTTAGGTACCCATTGGGAATTCCTCTGTAATGTTGGATGAGTATTGCGACGATGAGGAAGTTGATGCAGCACCGTGGAAAAGTCTTTACGCACCTCTTGCTCTGTTCGGGATACTGACATCTGCCGGGCTCGTGGCTGCATTGGAGGCAAAAGGGCCTGCGGGGATGCGTCAGGGTCTTGGCCAGACAGACAGGGGCCCTCGCTACTCACAGCTTTCGGTCACACTAGAGACAGTGTTAGTCAGTTGGCAAACCAACATATAGGACTCCCCAGTTGAGCCCTGGTTGTCAGGTGTAAGTGTGATGAGGAACATACTCACTCTTCGCTTCCTCTGGCGACAACTCTCGCAGGCAATGGGGCTCTGGAAAGTGCTGCTGCTGCCGGCCTCTCTCTCGCTGCTGTTCCGCGACATAATTCTGTGCAATGAGTATACTGAGTGAGTGTCAGGTGCCTGGTCGTATGTACAGTATCTCTCTCTCTCCCTGGTCGATCGAGGATCTACGGCGTAAAAAGATCGAGTTCAAGAACAAAAGTCCATCGCCCGTGCGGACAAAGAAAAGTCCGCAGGCGCCCCACTTTCCGGAGACTGCCGTGGCGCCGTCTCCACTTTCGTCCGACGTCGCGCCCCGATGTAGCGCGTCTCGCTCTCGTCTCCTTTCTCACTCACCACCACTAGCCACAGGAAGAAGAATATCTCGTTGTGCATCGATCCAACTAACCCCGGGCTTGGCATCCCAATTTTTTCTCACT